CCAGAGACTTTTACACACCGGCACCAAGCGGAGAAGGACCAAGCACCCTACACCAGCACCGTCCCTTTGCTCCAGGCTCCCTTTACACCAGCCCGCAAGCAGCAAGAACACTACTTCCATTTTAGGAGCATTCACAGAGCAGGGTTTAGGTTTTTTTTGGTTTTTTTTTTTTCCTCAGAAATAAACCCAGGAGCTGTGCTTTGGCGACTTCCCTCAAAACTTACAGTTCTAAAAAACTGAGTATGTAAAAAAAAAAAAAAAAAATCCAACTGCTCTTGCTAACTCATCTGCTTAAAATCACATTCCCTGGGGTATTTGGAATCTTTATGATGATTTATTAGCAGCTCTGCACAGCGCAGCAATCACATGAAGCAGCCTACAAGGTGAGCAGTAACCATCTTAGCAGACCAACATTATTCGGGTATTGGTTGAGAGAGGCGAGACCTTCCAACTTGAGAAATCCACTGTCCCTTCCTCTGTTTGCTTTTTATCTTCCATTACTCAGTTACTTTAGCTCCAAGCTGCGGCTCCAGATATTCCCAGAGGAATTAAAAGAGCCCTTGATATTATAAATATTCTTTTTCATTGTAAACACACGCCAGCACTCAGAGCGAAGCGCCGGCGCTCTGACATGGCTCCAAACTGGCTCCGCAAACCACTCTGCTCCTTGCCGCATTCCAGCTGAGCTGTGGTTTCTCTTCCAACCCAGAGCTTTTGTCCAGTGAGACCCAACTGCGGGCAGAAAGGATTTTCCTGTGTGCTTAAAACCTTGTTCTAGCGAGTTAAAAACCCGAGGGTTTGGGGCAGCAATCACCTTTCAGAGGACCAAAGCCTCGTCGCGAACCGCACGGGCAGATCAAAGCACGATCTGCCCACGTCAGAGAAGAGAGTCACCAAAGAAACCAAACCATCGCTTGGCCTTTCCCACATCATGGAAGAGTCGATGACTGGAGCAGAGGCCAACCCAGCCTCGGGGACACACCAGCCCTTCGCATGTCAGGGAAGGGCGGGGGAATGGCCAGGAAAGCAGTGATTTAGGCTATATTTACTCAGCTGTCTCCATTCTCTGCTCTCACAGAGAAAGTCACAGGGCCAGTTCCCCAGTGGCTCTAAGAGCTGCTCAGGAAAGAAAAGCCTCGCATTAATGGGGAGGAGAGGCGGCCATTCCTCTGCCACACCGGGCAGGGGTGCCGAAAGGCGCAATGCTGATGCCACTCCAGCTTTCTGCAGCTCTCGCAGAGCTCACTGGAGACAGGTTTTCCCCCCACCTTTTATTTCCCATTGACCCCCAGTTTGGGAGGTGCGTGACCACAGGAAGCTTCCTCTTCAAGGGGCTGAGAAGCATCCCCAGCATTAGAAAAGACACAGGGCACAAACCTCACTGGAAGGAGGCGGGCTGGCCACCATCCCAGAGCCAGGGCTTGGTGGCAACTGTGTCTAGAGCCAGCAAAGCCACAGCCACCCCAGGCCAGACCCCGGGCCATCCAGAGGGACAGGCGCATCCCCGGGCCATCCAGCCCCAGCCCAGGGCCTGCTGGGGCAGAACCGCGGTGGGGCCAAGCCCTCAGCCCAGGCTGGAGCCGTGCAGCCCTGACGGGCCGCGTTCCTCCGGCTCTGCCACCCCGAGGGGGTGCCAGGCACCCTGCCAAGGAGGGGTCCCTGCACCGGCACCACTGCAGGGGGAACGGCACGGAGGTCCCCATGCTGGCACTGCTGGGGACCGAGACGGCCTGGGGGGACCGGGGAGCACGGCCCTTGCACAGGGAGGGGACGGGGACAGCCCCGGCACCGCGGCGGGGGACACAGGGGACCTGCCCCGGCACCGCGGCGGGGGACACAGGGGACCTGCCCCGGCACCGCGGCGGGGGGCACAGGGGAACTGCCCCGGCACCGCGGGGCGG